TCTCTTATTTTCACTTCCCTCTCTCGCATTTTCCTACTGGTGCTGCCCTATTTCCTCGTCCTCAAGCCCTATCCACTCATCAATTCTTCTTCCGATGAATTTATTTGCCACACCAGCAGCTCTCACAACTACACCATCATCGAATGATCTCTATCAACCAACAAAACCTTAACGTTCAAGTCTAACTTCACAAGAACCATTGGCCATATGCCTCATCTTCAACGGAACCATTATCTACTCATCGTCGCCCACCCTGTCTCTAACTTCAACACCAAGAACCTCCGTTTGGTAATCTAATATCCTCCTCTTTCCCTTTCTTTGAAGATAAACAAACCCTAATTTTCTTTGTTTAAAATCTCTGTTACTGAAACAGTCTACTTGATTTGAGAGAATTACTGCATAAATAACCACCATCGGAACCTCTTCACTTGTCATCGGAATCCTACCAGCCACCGTTGTCCCTTCCTTCGACCATAGTAATTCCATCATTAACCAAGAGCACCCTATGTTGGTAAGTCTTCGATCTCTTCACAATTTATTTGATTTTCGTTTTTGATTTTATATATGTATATGTTAATTTCTAGACAGTAATAAGTTAGCTTGATCACAGTCTAGTATGAAGATGAAACTTACATCACCTCTTTGAAATCACTTCATCTTGTTAAACTCACTAAAAGCATCTTTTGGTTCTTAATATATCCGTTTCTTAACTTGTAGGGTATAATTTATTGAATCTGATAGGTCCTTAAGACATGGAATGTCTAAAATTAAAGGAGAGTTTATGGCTGGTGTTCTACAACATCTTCCTCCTATTCTAGCTTTTACAGCTCCAATCCCAAACAGGTAATAAGTTTTATTTTTTTTACTATTGTTGATAATATGAAGAGTGTGTAAGAACATTAGGGCCTCTGCAAATATTTCTGGATTGTAAATTGTATTTTGTCTTGAATCGATGATCTTCGCACACATCTCTCTCCCCCTAATCCTATTGGAAACTGGACAAGGCTCATAAGACTGTGAGTATATTATTTTGCTTTTCTTGCTCCTAGTTTTATAAATCTTTTCCATTTTCCAAATATTTCTGGTTGTTCATTTTATTTATTTATTTATTTTCATTTTTAGCATTTGCAAGTTGGTGGGCTTAATGAGTTAAGCACTTAACCTAGACATGTATTTATGGTTGTTGTTTTTGCTTAATCTGGACATAATGACTTAATAGCTTAATCTAGTTTAATGTATTAATATACTAACTTGTTTTTTCCTAACTCCTATCACCTTAAAAATTGATGAATGTTGTGAAATTTGATTTTCTTTCTTTGAATGTAAGGGTAAAATGGTCATTCAGTCTACAAAAGGAATCACAGTTGATGTACACAACAGTTTATCCATATAGATGTTGTTATCCATTCAGCCATTTTAACAATACAGTTGTTGATTCAACATTGTTGGGAAGGAAATTTTGGAGAAGGCAGATCTTGAAGTGGCTTTGAAGGGTCTAAAAGAGAGGCTTATAACCAAGAATGTGGTATGCTGAAAATTTTTCATTCTCAATATAAAGTTTCTTGGATAAAGTATGAAGTAGTTAGTTAAATATGACAAATGTACCCTTTTGGAACAGGATGAAGAGATTGCTGAGAAAATTTGCAAGTCTCTAGTAGTAAGCCTGGTGGACAAAAAACTTCCTTCTTTTACTAGGGTATCATCAACAGTTTAGGCGAGTCAACTCTGTCCTTTTTTGTCGTTTTATGATTACTTGATTTGTAAAATATGAGAGTGATATTGAGTGCAGTGCAGGGTGCAGGGTGCAATGTGAAAATTGAAATTGACCTTTCTTTTCTAAACATCAAATTAGTTGATTTTCAATTCGATTCCCCAATCTTTATACTTCATTCTCAATTTTGTAGCTTTTTAAGACATCTTGTTATTTATGTTCCTTAATATATTTTCATGTTTCATTAAAGTTAATTTTTTTCCATTTGATTTATAAGTACTTGATGTTTCTGCTAAAGTTCTTTTATAATTTGATTAACTATATAAATGTCGATCAATCTTATCAACCCCCCTCCCCCTTCCTTTGTGTATCTGGTAAAAATATTTTTTTTGTTGTTTGAAATTTGAAATCTCCAATAACCTAAAATAAAATTGTTTATTTTCTGGTGCAGTATATGTGGTAAGGTTTGCACCAGGTACGGATTTTAGTGATGGCGGATTCAACTTGCAGCGGACTTACGACTTGGAATCGAGCAAGATTACATCCAAAATAACAGTCCAAATGGTCAGATATTATCTATACAACATGGTAATGGGTTTTTTTCTTCTTTTTATTTTGACTTCATTTTTGTTTTTAATTATTTCATTATATGGGTTTAATCTTTGCAGATTTTGTCCCATTGAATATACTGAATACAATTCCAGATTTTCAAAAATTGTCATGCATGAATGGTTTGTTGAAAAATATTTAATATAACATAGTGATATAAATTTGATATTGTTTAATCATAACATCACTAATAATGCATATCTAGATACGAAACCACTGATGAGTCATTGAAGGCATCCAAGGAGTTAACCAACAGATGGAAACATGATGTAGACGACACAATCGTGGCGAAGGCCAGCTAGCTTGAAAACATGAAAGTTCTCAAATGGTATGTGAAACTTAATCCGGATTTCCAACCTCAAAGTTTTGACTTCTTTGTATAAAATATTTGAAATTTGGTTTCTTTTTTTCTTTCTATGTTTGTTATAGTTTTAAATTTTTTTAAATCAAATAGCTTGAACTTCAACTACATAATAAATAAATTACTATTGTTTAATTTATTTTCTTATTATTTTTCAGTTGAAGTTATCTTTAATTACTTGATGTTTTGCTCAAATTTTGTCAAACAAACAAGGGTATGAATCAATATTTATGCTTACTACACATCAATCCTCACACTTATGAAGTAGGTTTAATATTTTTTGTGTTTCTTATCATTATTAAAGGTTATTTAAAACATTTGTCCACCAACCAAATATTAAATTTAAAATAAGGCTTTCTGTCAATGTTTGCAGCTTTCTTTGGAAAAACATTATGTATTAGCTCTTTAGCACACTCTCGATCATTTAACAAGAGTATAAATTAACTTAAACTTTATGTGTATAACCTCTATTTCTTTCTATTTTCCCATCCACTGTTCTTCTGGATAAAAAAAAATAGTTGGAAAATGGAGGGAAAAAATAAATGAGGGTAAATTTGTAAAATGTTATACGTAATGGGAAATCCATGACTTTCATTATGAAGTCCTTACTTTTTAATCAATTTATAAGGTCTGTTTAATTTCTGGATTGAATAAACCGTTGTGATAGTAAGTTGTATTAACTCCTAATTAAGTTAACAACAATCCATTTACGTTGAATATTGAGTATGATCCTCCTGTTGGAGTAATTTAGAATAAGGGGAAGGGGCATTTTCGGAAGTTTTTTTTATTCAGTAGTTTTTATTCCAATATTTTAGTTTGATTCAATTTCTTTTTATGTTAGTATAAATTAGAAGATGCGTTGTTTTGTAATTTAGTTCCAGAACTAGTTTCTCCACCTAATAAAGCTAAGGCTCCAATCAATCTTGTTATCCCCTGTTTTCATGTTTTTTCTTCTATGTCCATGTTTTGATCTGTTGGTTCACATCTGCGCTAACAACTTCTATATTATCTATTCCTCTTTAAGAAATCATTTCGTTGGTTTGTATCAAGTGTAAAATTTTCTTAAAGAGTTCATTGCATATGGTTAACTTCATCCTTTTTTTCTTTGAACTAATATGTTCGCCATGTATAAAGTACAGTAGGGAAGTTAGCAGGCACCTTGAATTAATGTTCAAATTCACCGCATGATAGTCTATGTAAGAATACAAAGTTAGTTATTTGCTCATATTACTTGACAATTAAAAGAAAATATGACTAAATACTCGTTCGTGGACTAATCAATTTATCATGTTGTAAAGTAATATTGTTGTGATTAAATAGATATTAGACAACAACACATTTTAATACTTAAATCCTTTATGTTTTCTAACAAGATCTTGATGCATCAAACTTGAGGCCGTATCTGTAGTTGAAATCAAAATCAAAGTCCCTAACAATAAGAAAGTGTAATATTGTATGTATTTTTGGCTTTACATGAGATTTTTTTTATACCAGGCATGGCCATTAGCTCCAACAAGTGATTTCAATCATTATATATGTTTGTTAGATAATATTAAGCACAAATATTCTAAACTATAGTGTTGAATTATATGGTCCAGGCCTAGGGAAGAAGTAGGAATGTATTGGGGCTATAAAGTCAGATATGCTCCCAATTTCAGTTCAATAATTAAACACTGCCCATATAAGGTAACAAAGGGCAACACATTCGTATCTATTTCTGGATTAATTCCATAATCCATAAATAGGAATAAGTGTGTTGCGATTTTGAAATTTAGTTAGCAGCAATAAAATGTATCTTATTGTTTGCATTTTTTAGCAGGAAATCAGGTCATTAATTATGTTTTCCTTTTCTACTTTTTTCCTCTTCTGATTGCTCTTTTTCATTTTAGCAGGTATTCAGGTCATTAACTTGATATCATATCAGGTATTGGATGAGTTTCAAAAATATACATGGCTAGTTCCTGTAGACCAAAAGGCATTAAGGTTCACTGGAACTACTTTAACCATAACTTCTCATTTGTTAGGGAGTATGTGTTCCTGGTTCAGGGGCTAGAGTAATGGTAGTTTTGGGTGGGCCCACAACTAAAGGTCCAAGTTTGTGATTCAATATCCTTTAGTTTTGGATAAACAATTCCCACCATTGTATTCTTAGTTATTAGCATTGAATGTAAGTCATTCCCATTCTCTTTTCATGATCAAAAGACATTATCACCCCTGTTTATGCAGACACATCGGAAAACATAGGCATGGTGTAGCCAGAGAAGTAATGTGGCCAGAAGCTTTACATTTTGTCAACTTGATGCATCTAAGTAGAACTTCATGATTGCTGATTTGTTAAGAGAATGGTGGATTTGGAACTGTTTACAAGGATCAGTTAGATTCAGAGAAGGTAAAATATTCAAAACGGTGTCTTTCATATTTTCCATGGGTCGTACACTTGCTACAATTAATGTACTCTTACACAAAAGTTTGAACAATTAGTAAAAGGAAACTTATGTTCCTTTTTTATTTTTCCTTGTTGACAAAATATCTAAATTGTTAAATTCTTGAAGTCACAAATTGTATAAAGTTTGGCGCAATATAGTTTCATAATTCGCTATTAGGGTTGTCAATCTGTGCTTGTTTCCTAGCACTAATTGACAAAATATCTAAATTGTTAATTTACTAATTAGGACACCATAGATTGATATATCAGAACTTGAGAATCTTTTCTCAGCTGCAATTCCCCCTGACAAGAATGTTGCAAAATCAAAATCTGCTCCAATTGCTAATAAACCAGAAAAAGTTCAACTGGTAATATATAGTAATATACTATCTGTCATAGTTTAATGTATATTTTTTATATATAATTTTGACTTTTTTGACCTTGTTACAGATTAATCATAGGCGAGCATACAACTGTGAGATCATGCTTTCAAAGGTGAATATACCTTTGCATGAACTAATGGTAAGCTGGCCAAAGTTGTTAAAATATTTTTGTATGTTAGTTTATATAATTCATAATAATAAAAAATGGCAGGATTATATTAGCATATTAATTTTTTGATAAGTCGTCAGTATAGGTATTATCCATTCAAACCGTTAGGACCCTTTCCAGATGTTCACTTTTCCCTCATTTGAGGAGATAAGTTTGTTATTATTATTTTTTTTTCTTTTTTCCTTTCTGAGTGTGGATATGGAAACTTCATGCACAATTTTATTATAATTATTTTCCAGGTCATATGAATGATTAAATGTCGACACTCGACATGCACCTGAATTCTAAATTTTGTGGTGCTTGTAGAGTGTCACATATTGATTGATTAATGGTTTGGTTGAGCACAAGTCACATGATACTTCATGAATAGTTTGGATAATATTAAATTGTTAATGGTTCAGTTTAGAATTCAAGCGATGTCTAATGTTTAATGATTAATTTCACAGGTGATGACCTTACACGTTACAATGAAATATTGAGAAAGCTACTTCTATTCTCTAGGAACGTTTAATGATCAATTTCACCTGGTTGCCAAGGCTGCTAGGTGAAATTGATGTTAACTCTTTTTATCTTGGATTACTTGACTATTATTATAGCAACCAAATGTCTCATTTTCATTAATTTGGCTAAAAAACTATTTTCATTGCCTATTAAGTCACTAAATTAACATTTTATGTTAAATATGTCATCATGCTTACAGTTTTTTCTGACTTCCATTTTTTTATAACATAATAAAACCTCACTCGCTGATGTCATCTTTTCTGACTTCCATTTTTTTATATAATTTTTATTTGGGTCAGGAGGAGGCTGCTGATGACAAAGCACCACAATCTGAAAGAGGCATCAAGTCACGTGCAATTCTTGGTAGACAGGTCAAAGGAATTGTCACAGAGCAGGTTGTTATAATGCTTCACATGTTCAAAATAGCAATTTACTTTCTTTATTTTGTTTATCGTAACATTATACTAAAATTCTTTCTAGGGTATTCTGCTCATTTACATTACAAATTTGCTGCTTTAGTTCAACATCCAGATAGAGGTCAAGTCACTAAGTTTCTTGCTTGTTGACTATTTGTTGACTTTTTTAAAAGATTTTTATTTTCCAGTTATGATTTCAACATATTATTGAAGTTGAATCGGGTCTCGGTCCATATAAGATTGAATATGATGAAGAGTGGCTAGCAATCACCCGTAGAAAGGTATTGGTACATCCAGTATTGAAATGAACAATTTACCCTCGACATTTTCCTTCATAGTAAATCCTCCCCTGAATACTAAATCCATACCATACGTGTAGTATGTAAACTATTTATTAACAAATAAATAAATCAATATGAAAACCTCTCAGCAAATATAAGTAAAATGTTGGTTGATATTTTTTTATTTTTTTTCTTGTTTCCAGGGAGTGGGTTAGCTGGAATGAGGTAAAGGGAGTGGGTTGGCCTTTTGTTTTTTTGTTAAATGATAATCGTTACTGAAAGGAAGAAAAATCAAAATTTAATTTTGATTTATTTGATGTCTCGTGTCTTGCAGGTTCATGGTGGTCAGCAGTCCATGTAAGTTTCTTGATTTGTAACATCTTATATTCAAGAAATAGCAATGTACTTTCCATAAAAAAAAATTATGAATTATATTCTTTGAAAAAATTGCTAGATAGGTAGGTTTAAAAGTAGAATGTCCTAATAAGAAATAATTTTAAAATTAGAATGAAAATGATAAGTGATTTTGTGTTGTGTTTACAGGGTTGATGAAAGCGAATAGCTTTGGAGTTAGAAGAGGAAAAGTAAGCTCAAGCTGAAAGAGATAAGATACTACAAATGCAAGTGTTCCATTCTTCATTTCAATTGTTAGTATGAAACACAGAGTAGATTAGATGAATGCAAATTTATATATTGTAAGAAATAGAATTGTATGACATTAAATTTTATGCCATGGATTGTATTTTTTATATGGTATTTTATTTGTATTATGAAACAGTAAATGCAAATTTAATTTAAAAATTAATAAATATATAAATAGATTTTTTTTAACATTTAAATTTACGATATGCAAAAATGTGTGTCATCTTCATTTATGACATGGCCTTTCTTGACAGGGGTTTTAATGATACGTATTGCGTGTCATTAACACGCACGTCGTAATGTTATGACATGCGAATGCGTGTCATCTTCCTTTATGACAGGGCCTTCCTTGATACGCATTGCTTGTCGTAAACGCGCGTCGTAATTGTGCGTCGTAAATGAGCGTCGTAAATGCGCGTCGTCTCTCTTTATGACAGGGCCTTCCTTGACGCGCATTTGCGCGTCGTCTGAGCCTTTTACGACGCGCAATGAGCGTCGTAAAAGGCTGTTTTTCTAGTAGTGGATGGGACACTCTAATGTTTTGAATAAAATATTAATGTTATGAATTTTGAAAATTAGGGTTAACGCTACTTCACATCTTATGGGAGTGTTTGGCTAATTAAAATGAAAAAAAATTGAAAATTTTGGGTCGTTACAGCCGAGTAGAGATGAACTTGGACATGGATTTGGAAACTTACTCAACGAGTTGAGAGGCCTCGACTCGATGAGTAGGCTGGATGAAATGAAACCCTAATTTTGGGGTTTTACACCATATTTAAACACCTTAACCCCAACGTGTTGGCCTCATCTCCAGCCTCTACTGCCCAAAACCCTAAGCCATTTGTGGTGATATTGAGATAATCTTGTGCATTCTTGGTGAGTTTGAAGAAGGAGAAGCTTGAAGGAGGAGCAAGAACGTGTGAGAGGAGAATAGATCCAGAAGTTGGGCTTCATTTCTGGTTCATCTGAGGTATAAAGCTTTAATCGTGTCCATGTTATGTTTAGATCTAGTCTTAGGATGTTTTGCTCCATGTTTCGATCCAATTAAATTGATAGTTGGAATTTAGACGTTCCTTTTGGGAAAACTCTCCAGATCAAGGGCCTTGAAGGGACTTCATGGCATAAAGGTGCCAACTTTATGGCCATGGAAGTCCCATAAAACCTTTAGACCATCATTTTGGTCTTTTAAGCACTATTAGATCATGCATGCAAGTAAAGATGGGAGCTTTATGTGACCAACTTGTCCCTAGAGTCTAGATTCATGATCTCATGGTCTATCTTGAAGTTGTGATGGTTTTTGGGGTTGGATCTAAGCCCTTTTGGGTTAGGGTTTGAGTTTATGCCTTGGAAAGAGGTTCTTAATGGGTAAAGTTGGAAACTTTACCCTTATAGGCGTATTTCCAACTTATATTTAGAGGATAGGGCCTTGGTTTGATGAATAGGGACTTAATGCATTAAGATGGGTTGCATGACTGAAGAACTCGACACGTTCATAGAGGAACTCGACGATTTGGGTCTAATTGTACCGATTATGTTAAGGGAAGAACTCGGTGAGTTGGAGGAAAACTAGACGAGTTGGATTGAGATTTCATGATACTGTGATATATAGGAACTCAACGAGTCGAGGACAAACTCGACGAGTTGGTTCACGATTCCATGATTTTATGACTCTTGAGAACTCGGTGAGTTAAAGGTCAAACTCGACGAGTTGAGTCAACTCGGAGTGTTGACTTTGACGTTGAGTTTGACCTTGACTAAAGTTGAGCCGTAAAGGGTTATGAGTATGAAAGGGTACTTAAAGGATATCTTTTATGTTTAGGAGCTTGAGTTGGGTTGATATTCGGAGCCGAGGATTTTCAGCTACTTTCCAGTATTCGAGGTGAGTTACCTTCCTGGTATGAATGGGTTGAATGCACCATTGTTGGCCCATTAGTAGTTGTTTATAGTAGAGACGATTGTATTTGTGATATTATCTGGTATGCCACTATCTTTTGGGATTTATGTGCTTATACGCTATGTTATTATGCAGTAATGGTAGGGATGAATAGACCCTGTATTCGTTCGAAAGGACCAAAGGGGTAGACTGTTGGATTAGTGTCTAAGTCCATAACTATTTTGGTATGTACTTGACCCGATGGTGCATGGTCCTTTTGGGTTGCCTTCACCAAAGCAACTTGATTGGAGAAATAAATAAAGAGAGAGAGGTTATTATGATTTATTAATATGTTATAAGAATAATATATTAAAGGAGAAATCATATTTGCTTAATTAATATTGGTCAATAATTAATTAGGAATTAATTTTGTGATCAAGTGTAATTAATTAAACTAGAGGGGCTGAATTGTAATTATGTGATAGTTACAAAATATGGTAATGGTTATCCTAAATATGGGTTGAACGAATTCAAGGAGATAAGGATCCTTGAAATCGCCCAAAGGATAAAGGATAAGGGTTTTCAAGGCTTATCTTATGGTTGCTTTGTGGATAAGCAACTAGATAAGGATAATGACTGAAACCCTATCTCTACACCTATATAAAGACCCTAAGGCCTTAGAATTCGTGTACTTGTTCCCAAGGAGTCCTAAGGACGAATTCTAACTCTCTCCTCTCTCTTTATACCTTCTCCATTTGCTCTTGGTGTTTGTAAGCCATTAGAGGAGTGACACTTGTGACTCTAAGCCTTCCAAAGTCAATTCAAGGAGGATTGGGATTGTTATTGCTACATAACAATCAAGGTAACATTATAAACTCATTCTTATGTTAATATGATTACTTGCATGCTAGAATTAGGGTTTATAGTCTTGGATTCAAAGCATGTACAATAGAGAAACCTAGATCCAAGCATTAGGGTTTGTATGAGCACATAGGATGTCTTATGACCAAAACCCATCAGTGGTATCAGAGCCTAGGATGGTTTCAATTGTATTGATGCATTGTATATCTAAAAAATTCGATTTTTTGGTGTTCTAGAGGCTGGACTCGCCGAGTCCATAGCTGAACTCGCCGAGTCCAGGGTGACTCGACGAGTCCAGGCTTGACTCGACGAGTCAACTCGTCAGATAGTGCTTATCTCGGGATTTCTTGCTGTTTTTGCATATGGATAGTTACCTTATCATGTTAGATCAATATTAATCCGATTATATGATATATTTGACTATATTTTTGATCTAAATGAAGATATTTATCAATTAATAAGATAATTGTTTCCTTATAAGATAATTGATTAATTATTTTGAGTAAATTGATAAATTGTTTTGCAAGAAATCATTAAATAAATCAAATATGGATAATTATGTGATTAAATGTTAATTTAAAATTATTTGTTATTTGATCCTTGTTGTTATGAAAAGTTTCATATTTTGCCCTTTAGGTTTTATAGTTTAAATTTGAACCCAAAAGTTTTGTTGTTTTGAAATTTAAATAGTTAAAACCCTAATGTTTTGAAAAAGGTTTCAAAACTTGCCCTCAAGTTTTGGAATTTAAAAGTTGATTAAAGTTTAATTAGGAATGTTAAATTCTAAAACCCTAGTAATGTTTTGAAAAGTTCAATACACCCTTATGGTTTTATTAATTAATTAAGGTGTATAATTAAAAGAGTTTAATAAATCCATAAAAGTTTAGGTTTACAATTTAATTGAATTAAAAGTATAATTGTTAAATTTGATCCACTAGTATTTTAAAAGTATAAAATACACCCTATACTATATATATATATAACATTAAAAGTCTAACATTATATATATGAGTAAAAGTCAGTCTTACCGTTAGTAGGCCTCATTCACGAAGCTGGTCTATAAGGGGTGTTTAAGGAAATTGCCTATAAAATGGCGATTGAATGGGTATCCACTCTTACCCACCGCACTCTTGACTAGTGGAGGGTCGTTAGCCGAACGGGTAGGATAGGACGAAACCTTCCATTATAAGTATAATGAAATACAAAGTAACTAAATGTTTTTCAATTCCCAATCTTAGTTACTTAGGCAAAAGTGAATTGATGCAATTCCATGAAATTACACTTTGTGCCCTTGCGAAGACGTTAGTGGAGCGTGTGTGGTTTACCGGCACACTAAATGGTTCTAAGCAAAGGTAGCAAAGGGTGACTCAATGTTTGTCATAGTTCGGTGGAGCGTGTGTGGTTTACCGGCACATCGAATAGGTGACTGTAACATGTGAGGGCACCATGTAAGTTTGCATGGTTATTCACACCCGCTTTGTGATCCTCGGCAT